CACACACACACACACACACACACACACACACACACACACACACACACTTGCCTGGACAGCTGACATCCCTTCCCTACCAGATATACATACCAGTGAGCTGACTCACCCAGCAACCCTCCTCACCCCCACCCCAGAGGCTCTAGGCCACTGCGCCCTCAATACCGCCCCCTCCCCAGTTGGGTCACCCCCAGACTGGGCTTGTTCTTTAGACTCTGGGGGCCTGACAGTTTCCCCCAGACCACCAAAAAATCAGCTCGTGGGGGGAGGAGTACAGAGAGATGCTATAACCAATCCCAAGCCCAGCAGTGGAGAAGGAACCTATCCTTCACCAGGTTCATTTGACAGGGCACCAAGGTGCCTAGGACAGTGCTCCGCCAAGGCGCCAGGGGTATCTTCTATCTATCTAGTCACCAGGTGGCCTCCAGACAGCTAACTCCCTGACTTGGCCTATTGGGGCCAGAAGTGAGAATCCGGAGAAGCTGCGTCCTCTCTCCTGTACACACATCCCAGAGCACCAACCCACTCAACACCCTCAATTCAGGAGCCAGTCTGTGCTCTAGGGTGTCAGCCCTCCCCACTCCTGTAGGCTGTCCCTTATTTACTGTTTGTACCGCCTACTTCTAAGGAGGAGTTGGGGTCGAATGGGACTCTCCTCCTAACTGCGTTCTGATGCCTCGCGCAGGACTCCATAACCAGTCCCTTCTCTGAGTTTCCCCGAATCCTGGCACCCTCGTCCTTACCTACGAAGCCCTGGGTCCGCAGCTCGAGGTAGGAGCGGTAAACCTCCCGCGTGAGGTAGTTGATGAAGCCCTTCCTGGGCGCGAACTTGCACACGAAGTTCTGCTCGTAGAGGCAGTTGATGAGGAAGCAGGAGGCGATGGCGTCCTCCCCGCCGTCGGGCTGCAACTCCACCAGCGCCAGATTGCAGTCGTTGGAGCTGCAGCAGGCGTGCACGCAGTCCCGGCCGCGGCGCACGGTGAGGGAGCGCAGGAAGGTGGCGCCGTTTCTCACCGAGGCGTCGGTGTCGAGTACGAAGGCAGGCACCCCGGGGGTAAAGCGGTCCAGGCAGTTGTCGGCCGTGAGCAGACTGGGGGGCACGGGCGGCGGCCCGGCCTCGGTGCCCAGGAGGCCGAGCGAGCAAAGGAGCCACACGGCGACCGCTGGGATGCGGGCCTGGGAGAGGCGGGCCCCGGCCATCATCCCCCCAGGGACCGTCGCCCTCCTCCCCACGGCGGTCACCTTCACAGTGCGGGCCCCTGACCTCCGAGGGTGATAGCGACCTGAGAGAGGGGAGGGGACGGAGGAGGAGACACCGGATCAGCCGGGAGACTTCAAGGTAGGCGGGCGGGCCGGGAGGAAGTTAAGGGGAGGACCGGGAAGCACCGAGCACCCCGGGAGTGGAGAGGGGCACGCGGGCCCGGTCCTCCCACGCACACTCCGGTGACCCGACAGCCCGACGGACGGCCAGACGGACGTCTAAGGAACTCACGTACCCGGACACACGCACGAGCAGAGAACAAAGGGCCAAACATGCTCAGAACCCGCTTCACCTCCTCGCTTGCTCACCTCGGCCCTGGTTACCTGCTCAGGTGAGTGGGGTGGGGCCGGGCCAGCCGATGTTCCGGTCCCGGCTTCCTGCGCGGCTCGGGCCGCAGCTTCCGCCCCAGTGCCCGGTGCGCTGGCGATCGGCCACCTCCTCCCCCTAGTTTCTGGTGAAACTGAGTCAGCGCAGCAGGGGCGGGGCGGACATTAACCCCAGCGCCGCCGGCTCCGCCCACGCCCGGTGCGCCTGTCCAGCCCCAGCTTCCGGACCGCCTATCCGCATCCCCGGGATCCCCGACCCTTCTCCCTCAGCCTGGTGCCCAAAGGGGCTCAGAGGCCGGGGCGCCCTGCCCCGGGCCGCTGGATCCACCGAGTCCAGCCTCACGTGGTTCCCCGCACCCCAGAAGTACACCCGTATTCCCGGAGGCCCGGACAGGTCAGGAGGACGCTTCAGCGAAGTCAGGCACCCGAGGGTGGGTCGGGCGCTCGGGGGCGGCTACCTCCGGCCTCCCTTTCCGGTCCGGGCCGGCATTCCCAGACCCAGGCCTGAGGCGCTTGGGAAGGGGCTGGCGGAGAAGAAATGGGGGAAAGCCCTATGCAAAAGATCTCGCTGTCGTCGTCAGCCCTCGGGAAATCATTTCCATCTGTGGCAGGAAGAGATCCCAGAAACTGCGTGGCTGCACCTTTGGTAACTGGAATCCAGGATGCCTGCTCCATCGTCACCACCTTTGCCAGCTCCGAAAGCCCTCCTTTCTGTCAGAGTGAGAAACAGGAGATTTCCAGTGTCCAGGCTTCCCTGCTTGATCTGCAGTGGTTCCTTTTGGTTTGAGGCCCTTCCTCAACGTGTACTAACGTTTACATTCGGGTCACTGTCGGAGCTGAGTCCCTGTTAGCCTCCTTGGTGAGTTGATCCCTTCTCTGCAGAATCCCTTTCCTCTCTCACCAGGTGGGATGATCCTGGTCAGGAGCTGGCTGCTTTCTTCCAGTGAAATAACATCCTTGGAAGCTAGAAATTCCAGCTTTCCAAAGTAGCTGAGTTAATGACCTTCACAGAGCCATGTACTCCTTGAAGCCAGGCTCATTGCATTTCCTGAGAGAAGAACTCCTCCTAAAGTCTATTCTTTAATTTTTTTATTTTTGGCTGTGTTGGGTCTTTGTTGCTGCACGCGGGCTTTCTCTAGTTGCGGCAAGCAGGGGCTACTCTTCCTTGCGTTGCGCGGGCTTCTCATTGTGGTGGCCTCTCCTGTTGCGGAGCATGGGCTCTAGGTGCGCGGGCTTCAGTAGTTGTGGCTCGCGGGCTTAGTTGCTCCGTGGCATGTGGGATCTTCCCGGACCAGGGCTCGAACCCGTGTCCCCTGCATTGGCAGGCGGATTCTTAACCACTGCACCACCAGGGAAGCCCCTAAAGTCCATTCTTTACAGAGCAAGATTGGTCCTATTAATGCTTTCCCCCCAAAGAGATTCCACACCTTCTCATGATGACTTAACAAACCCCAGCCCAATGGGAACGGTCTTCCTACTTTCTTATCTAGAGCAGCTTTACCTACTAGGTCCTGTAGCCAACCCTTCAATCATTTTCCTGGCTAAACTGCAACATTCCCTAGTTGCCCACATTATGAGTGTTGGGGGTGGGAATCTGAGGTCTGTCTCCCCTTCTCTGGATTTTCTGGGTTTTTCCACTGCCCCAGGCACAGTGGGGAACATTAGAGCAATGATGGTACACCAGGAATGAAGCATACGATTGTGCAGTTACTGGAAAGAAAGGATTTTGTTGAGATTTCATTCCTACCTCCTTCAATACCTTATGCATACAAGAATCCTAACACAGGAGACTGTTACCTTATGGTAATATTACTACAGATTAATCATTACTTCCATTACACCATTACACATTACTTCCATTCCATCATATACACCATTACAAAAACCTACATCCGTCAAGCCCTGACAATGCCCAAACCCTATGTATTTCCCACGCATTGCCCCATATACTCAAAACAAACCAAGAAAATAGGTACTAATTTTATTCCCCTTTTCCAGATGAGCAAACAGTCTCAGACAGGTGAATGAACTTGTCAGGTCACGTGGCAGTTAGGTGGCAGAGCAGGGATTGGAGTCCAGGAAGGCCACGTCTGTTGCTTCAGCACCTAAACACTGCTTTACTGCACTTACAATCTGACTTCAGCTGGAAATTCCACCTTCACCTCAGATTCAACTTGCCTGAAACACAAACTTTCAAGTGATGATCAGCCCCCATTTGAGATGCTTGCTGTGTGCCAGACACTCGACATCTGTGATCTCTGATTCCCACAACAGCTCTGAGAATAGTTTCTGCTTTGCAGAGAGGCTCACTAAACTCCATCAAGGTCATGCAGTGAAGAGTGGGAGGCAAGACTGTAGGGGTTCAGCTTGTGGGCTTCAGGCTCAAGACTACTGGGTTTAACTCTTTCATCTGTCACTATCAGTTGTAGACTTTGGCAACTTATTTAGCCCCTTTGTGCCTTAGCCTCCTTGTATATGAAGTGGGGCTTCACAGGGTTAGTATGAGGGTTAAATGAGTTAATAGATACATTTGACACCTGAAAAAAGTGACAGAGCCAGAATTTTATCTCAAGTCTCTCTGACATCAAAAACTACACTTTTCTCACAACCTTATGCTGCTTCTTACGTCCAGAAGACAAAACCTACACACGAGGGGAAAAAAGACTAACATAGTCCACCAAAGTGGTGAAAGTGATGGCATTTGAATGATGGGAATTCGAAATGACATTTTCTTCTTCCTAGCTTAAAAATTATTTCCGACGCTTCCCTGGTGGCGCAGTGGTTGAGAGTCCGCCTGCTGATGCAGGGGACACGGGTTTGTGCCCCGGTCCGGGAAGATCCCACATGCCACGGAGCAGCTGGGCCCGTGAGCCATGGCCGCTGGGCTTGCGCGTCCGGAGCCTGTGCTCCACAACGGGAGAGGCCACAACGGTGAGAGGCCCGCGTACCGCAAAAAAAATAAATAAATAAAATAAAATTATTTCCGAGGTTTCCTTTAGTGAGCATGGAATGCTTCCATGGTGAAGAGAAAACATCATCATAACCTCCACATTGATCATATTTAGCCCCAAAATGCTTCTGTCTCCATATTCTCTCCTGATCTCACTGTCCCAGTCACTTTGGAGTCATCTGTGGGCCCTGCCTTTTCTTTTTTTAAAAAAAACTATTTATTTATTTTTGGCGGCGTTGGGTCTTCATTGGTGCGCGCAGGCCTTCTCTAGTTGTGGAGAGTGTGGGCTACTCTACGTTGTGGTGCGCATGCTTATTGTGGTGGCTCCTCTTGTTGCGGAGCACGGGCTGTAGGCTCACGGACTTAAGTAGTTGTGGCATGTGGGCTCAGTAGTCGTGGCAGACGGGCTTAGTTGCTCTGTGGCATGTGGGATCGTCCCAGACCAGGGCTCGAACCCATGTCTCCTGCATTGGCAGGCAGATTCTTAACCACTGTGCCACCAAGGAAGCCCCAGGGAAGAGCCAATTTTGACTCCATGTCGGATTTGTTTCTTTGAATTTAACCTTTGCTTTTCATTGTTTTTGTTATTATAATCATACATAATGGCCTGCCTTAGGGAACCCTGTGCCTGAATGTTAAACTAAAGTGCCTTTGTTCAGCTCTCAGGGAGACAATCTGACCCTGCCCACCTGTGAATGGCTGCAAAAAAGAAATTAACACATCCCCTCCCTGATGCCGGCCACAGGAGGAGATGTTTTGCAAGATAAATGGCCTTTTTACTTTACTTCCTCACCTCCTCCCCTTCTCTGTTCTATAAAAGAAACAGGCGGGCTTCCCTGGTGGCGCAGCGGTTGAGAGTCCGCCTGCCGATGCGGAGGACACGGGTTCGTGCCCCGGTCCGGGAAGATCCCACATGCCGCGGAGTGGCTGGGCCCGTGAGCCATGGCCGCTGAGCCTGTGCGTCCGGAGCCTGTGCTCCGCAACGGGAGAGGCCACAACAGTGAAAGGCCAGCGTACCGCAAAAAAAAAAAAAAAAAAAAAGAAACAGGCATCCAGACCCAGATGCGATGGTTTTTTGGGGACCCTAGTCTGCCTGTTTTCCAAATAAAGTCGTATTCCTTGCCTCAACAGCTCGTCTCCTGATTTATTGGCCTGTTGTTTGGCGAGCAGAGTAAGCTTGGACTCGGTAACACTCCAGCCCTGCCTTCATCTGTCCTTCACCTGTTCAGATCCTCAGTGACCCCCAAGACCCTCTTTAGCAGTGTGTACAGAACCAGCTGTCCTCTGGATGGATTCATAAAGTTTGGTTTGTGGAGAGGTAGAGAGCGTCAGAGGTACTGGGGACCTTAGTTAAAGCCCTTCACCTTACATACAGGAAACTGAGGTCCAGAGATTTGTCCTCGATTTGTTCAGAGACACAGAGATAGTATGTGGCAGAGGCCACCTCCAGACTTCAGGTTTCTTGAATGCCAATCTTAGGTCCTTTCTGTGATTCTGACCTGACTTCCTGCAAAGCATTTCCAGATGATATTGTTTTCTAATTGTACATTGCAGGCCCAAGGAGAGCTGTCTGGGTAAGTTATCTCTTTTGTTAGACCACGTGGCTCACTCCCTGTCTATGAACTTGGGAAAGAGAAAGCCAGGGTTTATGCTACAGGTTTCCTTCATATTTGCCATACCACCAGTACCAACCGCTGACCTTAGGAGTGGGTGTTTTGGTGAGAACATTCAGTCCTTAACACCACTACTAGAAAAGAAACACTGAGTGCCTTGTCTTGGATGGTGGTCTGGTGGTTTCTGTAAGTAGGTATGATGGATTGTCTACAAAGATGGCTATCAAAGATGGTAGACAGGACCTCACCTTCCCTGTAAGTGCATGCTGCTCCTCCCACCAAGAGGTGACATCTATCTTTCCCCTCCGTTTGAATCCATAATTTGCTTTGACCAGTAGGACGGAGCAGAAGTGGTGCCACATGACTTTCAGGCCTCAGCCTTGTGGCTTACATTTTCTCCTCTTAGAACCAGTTGTGATGTAAAGAAGTTTGACTACTCTGAGGAAGAGAGAGGCCACCGGAAGAGAGCAAGACCCTGGAGGATGAGAGACTGTGAAGGGAGAGAGAGGGATCTGGCTTTCTCACAGTCACGTCAGCTGACTAGCTTCGTGAAGCTATCCTGCATCCTTAGCCCCAGTCGACTGGTCCCAACAGAGATTAGCTACACCTGTGAAGCCCTGCTCACGTTGCAGAATTGTGAGCAAATGTGTTTGTTTTAAGCCTTTAAATTTTGGTGTGATTTCATAAGCAGTTAGGTTAGCGGGTCCCTGGAGAAAGAGAATCAGGAATGGCATTCTTGACATAAGAGAAGCCATTTTGGGGGAAGTCCCTGGCAGTGCAGTGGTTAGGATTCCGGGCTTTCACTGCCGGGGACCTCAGTTCGATCCCTGGTCGGGGAACTAAGATCCCACAAGCCGCGCTACGAGGATAAATTTTTTAAAAAAGAGAGAAACCATTTTGTGATCTAAGCCTGGCCGCAATGCTTGCCCTCAAACAGGTCTCAGTAACAAGGATCTTGAGGGAACAAAGGAATGTCAGAACAGAGAAGGCAGTCAAACAATAGTGCAGTGATAAAGCAGAGTCCTAGTTCCTCCTCAAGGGATATATTCAATACATGATTATACGTCTCTGAGTTCAGCAGGAACTAAGGCCCCCACCCAGGTGGAGGACGGAATGATGATGTTGACCCTCCTGACTTCAATCCACCAAGACTTGGACTCTGTCAACCTTTGCCATAATTCTATGCTGAATGCTCCTCTGCTCAAGCCTCTTCATGAATATGCATGTACCCTTAGCTCAGAACTTCCAGTTTTGCTGTTCGGTGAGAGACTGCTTTGGGAAAGATCCCTGGTGTTCTCCTTACTTGCTGCAAGTAATAATGAATCCTTCCTTTTCCCAGTCTCTGGCTGGATCGTATCTGTTGGCTCAACACCCACCAAGAGGTCAACCCAGTTTTTGGGTAACTGTTTTGCGGCAATAATAACTGAAACAGAAGGATAATATATTTACAGAACAAATTTTAGTTTTAATTATCTAATGATTATAAATAAATACATTTTATAAATTTTAGTTGTAATGATCTAAATAAAAGCCTTCTAATTCCTTTGATAATGCAGAGTCAAGGATTTTTTTTTTTTTAATTTATTTTTGGCTGCGTTGGGCCTTCATTGCTGCGCGCTGTGCGTGGGCTTTCTCTAGTTGTGGGGAGTAGGGGCCACTCTTCGTTCCGGTGCGCGGGCTTCTCATTGCAGTGGCTTCTCTTGTTGCAGAGCACAGGCTCTAGGCACGTGGGCTTCAGTAGTTGTGGCAGGTGGGCTCAGTAGTTGTGCCTTGTGGGCTCTAGAGCACAGGCTCAGTAGTTGTGGCACACAGGCTTTGTTGCTCCGTGGCACGTGGGACCTTCCTGGACCAGGGCTCGAACTCGTGTCCCCTGCATTGGCAGGCAGATTCCCAACCACTGTGCCACCAGGGAATCCCAAGGATTTTTGATAAGGAATTTTGGGGAAAGTAATGACCCTTGAAATACTTTTCCAGGCGAGGCTGCTGTCACCTGTTCAATTTTTATGTAAAGGAGACAAGGCCCCTCAGATACTGCTGCAGCCCTAAAAGGGGAATTTTTTTGTTTGTTTTTGGCCACTCCTTGAGGCTTGTGGGATCTTAGTTCCCCGACCAGGGATCAAACCCAGGCTCTTGGTAGTGAAAGCACAGAGTCCTAACCACTGAACTGCCAGGGAATTCCCTCAAAAGGGAATTCTTGAAGAATTTTGCTAATGTCCAAAATGCTCATGGGACTTCCCTGGTGGTCCAGCGGTTAAGACTACTTGCTCCCAAGGCAGGGGGCCCGGGTTCGATCCCTGGTCGTGGAACTAAAATCCCACTACCGCAACTAAGCCCATGCACCACAACTAGAGAAGCCCGAGTGCTGCAACTAGAGAAGCCCATGTGCTGCAATGAAGACCCAGAGCAGCAAATAAATAAATAAATTTTTAGAAAGTGAAATAGCTGCTTGGGAAATTTTTTTAAAAAATGCTCACAATATTTCAGCGTGTTTGATAGCCTCTAAATGGTCACTAATGGTCCACACCTGCTGGTATTCATGCTGTTTTGTGTGTCATCTCCTTCCCTTCAGCATGGCTGGACCTAGTGATTGGCTTCTGATGAATAGAATACAGCAAAAGTCATGGGATGTCACATCCTAGATTAGGTTACAAAAAGACTGTGACTTGCTTTTGGCTTTCGGATCAGAGGAGGCCAAGGTACAACTTTCTTCAGTCGTCCCGAATCCGGGTTCATCCGACACCAGCTGCCTCCACTATGCCGCCTAAGTTCGACCCCAACGAGATCAAAGTCGTGTACCTGAGGTGCACCGGTGGGGCAGTCGGTGCCATGTCTGCCCTGGCCCCCAAGACCGGCCCCCTGGATCTGTCTCCAAAAAAAGTTGGTGATGACATCGCCAAGGCGACTGGTGATTGGAAGGGTCTGAGGATTACAGTGAAGCTGACCATTCAGAACCGACAGGCCCAGATTGAGGTGGTACCTTCTGCCTCTGCCCTGATGATCAAAGCCCTCAAGGAATCACCAAGAGAAAGGAAGAAGCAGAAAAACATTAAGTACAGTGGAAACATGACTTTTGATGAAATTGTCAACATTGCCCGACAGATGCGGCATCAGTCTTTAGCTAGAGAACTCTCTGGAACCATTAAAGAGATCCTGGGGGCCACCCAGTCTGTGGGCTGCAGTGTTGATGGCCGCCACCCTCACGACATCATAGATGACATCACAGTGGCGTGGTGGAATGCCCAGCTAGTTAAGCACTGCAAAGAAAAATAATAAAGGGTTATTTGACAACCAAAAAAAAAAAAAGACTGTGACTTCCATCTTGCCTACCCCCCCCCCCCCCCCCCCGCCCCTCAGTGCCCTGGCTCTTGTGGAAACCAGCTGCCATGTGGTGAGTAGCCCTCTAGAGAGCTCCACATGGCAGGGAACAGATGTCTGGCCAACAGCCCTGGCCCGCACCTGGCTTGCACCCTTCTGAGAATCCCTGAGCCAGAAGAGCCAGCTAAGCCACCAACTAAAACAGTGATATAATAAATGCCTACTGTTTTAAGCTGATCAATTTGGGGATAATTTGTTGTGCAGCAATATAAAACTAAGATATTCATTAACTAAAAAAATTAGGATATCAAACTATAAACAGTTTATTTGGTACAACCTTTCAGGGAGCTAATATGGCCATAACATCAAATTCCCCTACAAGTTCACACTTCCTTTGTCCTTGTAGTTCTGCCTCTAGAAAATCCGCTAAAGTGTGGGAGGGGGGAGTGGGGGTGGGAAGCATGCGTTGCTAAAAAAAGGAATGGTTACAAGGATGTTCAGAGCAGCAATATTTATAATGGCAAAAAAATTGGTAGCAATCTATATATCTAGTAGCAGGGGATTGAGTAACTAGATCATGGAATTGCCTCTAACAGAACAGTTTGGAAACTATTAGTGAGTCTTGAAAGCAAAGTGACTTGCCGTCAGCACTTGAAAAAATAAAGGTAAGTTTTGCTTCATAAGACATTTTCATTTCGTGTTTGTATGCGTGTGTGTCATGAGGTTAAATGAATTTCTTACTCTGAGTCATGGTCTAAATTTTGAGAAACTCTGCAGTGTTGAAAAAAGATGTGTATAAAATTACTTAATGACACAAAAAGTATTCAAAATATAAGTTACAAAATAGCACACATATGTTACAAAATGATCCAATTTCGTGAAAATCCAAAATAAGTAAATCTATATAAAAAGTGGAAAATACACCAAACATATCGTTTATACTTCTTATATCTATATTTTAGAATTTTCTACAATGAACATGCCTTTTTAAAAACTTTTTTTATTGAAGTATTGATAGTTTTTTTTTTTTTTTTTTTTTTTTGCAGTACGTGGGCCTCTCACTGTTGTGGCCTCTCCCGTTTCAGAGCACAGGCTCCGGATGCGCAGGCTGGGCGGCCATGGCTCACGGGCCCAGCCGCTCCGCGGCATGTGGGATCTTCCTGGACTGGGGCACGAACCCGTGTCCCCCGCATCGGCAGGCGGACTCTCAACCACTGCGCCACCAGGGAAGCCCGATAGTTTTTTTTTTTTAACATTTTATTTATTTGGTTGGTTGGGCTGGGTCTTAGTTGTGGCAAGGGAGCTCCTTAGTTGCGGCTCGCCAGCTTCTTAGTTATGGCATGCAAACTCTTAGTTGCGGCATGCACGTGGGAGCTATTTCCCTGACCAGGGATTGAACCTGGGCCTCCTGCACTGGGAGCGTGGAGCCTTAACCAATGTGCCACCAGGGAAGTCCCGATAGGTTTTTTTTTTTTTTTTAAATATTTATTTGGGGCTTCCCTGGTCGCACAGTGGTTGAGAATCCGCCTGCCAATGCAGGGGACATGGGTTCGAGCCCTGGTCTGGGAAGATCCCACATGCCACGGAGCAACTAAGCCAGTGAGCCACAACTACTGAGCCTGCACTCTACAGCTCGCGAGCCACAACTACTGAAGCCCGCATGCTGCAACTACTGAAGCCCGTGCTCTTAGAGCCTGTGCTCCGCAACAAGAGAAGCCACCGCAATGAGAAGCCTGTGCACCCCTGCTCACTGCAACTAGAGAAAGCCCACATGTAGCAACAAAGACCCAAAGCAGCCAAAAATAAATAAAATTGTTTTAAAAATCATTAAAAAAAAAAAAAGAGAGAATAGAAACTTGCCAGAATGCTAGCAGTGGTTTTGTGTGGCAGGATTATGGGAATTTTTAAATGTTTTAGAAAATTTAGAAATGTTTCTAAAATGAACATGCTTTTCTTTTATTATAAATTTTTTTAAGGACTTACCTGGTGGTCCAGTCGTTAAGACTTCTGCTGCAGGGGGCACGGGTTTGATACCTGGTGGGGGAACTAAGATCTCACATGCTGCGTGACGTGGCTGAAAAATTAAAAAACAAAAATCCTGTCTAGTTCTGATGGGGTCTGCCTGCTGCTTATTTTATCCCACCACTGGACCCAGGCCAGGCCAGGAGAGCAGGGAAGACACCCTTGCCTCTGCCCAGGTCTGCACCGTCTTTATTTCCACCCTGATATGACCCTGTGGTCCTGGTGGTTTTTCTTCACATCTTATCTTGAAACTTGAGTTCCCTTATCTTGGGCAAACTTACTGATGAATAGTGACACTCCGCAGGTCAATGCTGAGATGGAAGAATGTAAATAAGGAGAGTTACACTATAAATAATGGGCATAACTCATTTGTGTACCATCAAGCTTCACTGGGGCCATGTTTTGTGCTCATGCAGAATCTCACCAACCCCCAGTTTACAGATGAGGAAATATGCTCAGAGAGCCCCCATGCATGAACCTGTCTGTGTTCCTGTGTAGGCATTCATGAAGTTTGCATATTCCAATCCATTGCCAAGTTCTGTTAAATATTACCGCCTAAATAGCTCTCCAATGTGTCCACTTCTCACTATCACCAGCGCTACCTCCCCCTGTCAAGCCCTACAGCAATGGCCTCCCAACTGACCTCCAGGACTTCTGTGCCCTCTGATCCTCTCTGTATTCAATAGCTAAGGCGATATTTTGGAAATTTAAATCTGAACTCCTCAGTCTACCCAACCACCCTTGCTTAAGATTTTGCAGTTATTCCCAACGCTCTTAGGATAGAGACAAAACTCCTTAACATGGTTGACAGGGCCCTATGTAGATACCTCCACCCTGTCTGCCTCATGGCTCGCTTTTGCTTCCCTCATCTCTTTGTTCCATCTCCATTGACCTTCTCTAGTCCCTTGTATTCACCCTCTTCCTCCTGTCACAGGGCCTTTGCATATGCTGTGCCTTCTGCCAATTCCACTCTTGCAGGCTCCTGTACCTAGTTAACTCCTACTATATCTCCTCTTACCTTTTCTTCAGATCATTAAATACAGTTGTGGTTTTACATTTATTTGATTAGTTGGTTAATATTTGTTTATTTTTACACTAGACTGTAAGTTCCATGAAAACAGAGACTGTGTCTTTTTGGATCACCAGTCCCCAGTACTGAGTATAATACTTGACCTACAAGAAGAGCTCATAAAATCTTTGTTAAATGAATGAGTTAATGAATGAACAAAACCCATAGACTCTTCTGATCTGGTTCCTTTTCTTGAAAGGGCTCCCAAACGCTTCAGAAGACAGAAACAGAAGAGGGAGGGAACAGCCATAATAATGCCTATCACAGAACGTAACAGGTCATCAAGGTAAGAGCTGAGTCTACAGGCTGTATTTTAGAGGCCTCCCTACCCCCTTCTTATTGCCACCTTCTTCCAAAGAGGACCAGGAAGGAAGCCACTGCAGAGAAATTCCAGGGCCAGCCTTTGACGGACAGAGCCTCACCAGGAAGGCAGGGAGGATGAGAAGGCAAAGAAAGGAAGGGAAGGGATGTCTATTGAGAAGGGACTCTGTTTTGGATATCAGGCTGAATGTTTACATACATCATCTCATTTAATCCTCTCCAAAACCCCATTTTGCAGATGAGAAAACAGACTCAGGTTGTGAAACTTGAGGGTTATTAAACCAATGCAGGGCAAAGCTGGGTTTGAACTGGGGTCTGTCAGCCTTCCTCTGAAGCCTGGGCTTTTCCAGGCTACCATCCTGGCCTCCAGCCTTCAAACATCTCTCTCACCCTGTTAACTTAGGGCCTAAAATTTCATCATTAAAGACTCATCCGTTGGCCTGTGTCTAACACTGTCTTTTAGGAGTCAGTGTATGAAGTTGATACTTTGGAAACAGAAACTCAGCATCATAAAGGCAACCACTACAAGACCTAAAAAGAAATACATAAAAGAAAAAAAAATACATAAACAAAAATTAGAATGTGCAAAGGAAAGGGGATGAGAGAGCATGAGTGAGGGAGTTAAATCTCTAATCGTTCATACTGAGGAGAGAAGAGATACTGTCTAAAATGGACAAATTTATGATATTACACAAAGAGATAATGGTGATCTCAGGAGAACTAAAAGTAGAAGCTGTTGGTTGGAGTGGAACTGGGGGAGTGGAACTGGGGGGAAGAGAGACACTTTCATTTTTCATTTGTCCTGAGCTGTTCATTAAAAAAAAAAAAAATTACAGTAGTATTCTGTTGTGTAACCTTTCTAAAAAGTTTTGAAATTTTGTTACAAAAGACTAAACAAACAAAAACACCCTTCCTTTATTTATTTATTTTGTAATTTATTTATTTTTGGCTGCATTGTGTCTTCGTTGCTGTGCACGGGCTTTCTCTAGTTGCGGCGAGCAGCAGCTACTCTTTGTTGCAGTATGTGGACTTATTGCAGTGGCTTCTCTTGTTGTGGAGCATGGGCTCTAGGCAAGCGAGCTTCAGTAGTTGTGACACACGGGCTCAGTAGTTGTGGCACGTGGGCTTAGTTGCTCTGCGGCATGTGGGATCTTCCCAGACCAGGGCTCAAACCCGTGTCCCCTGCCTTGGCAGGCGGATTCTTAACCACTGCACCACCAGGGAAGTCCAAAAACACCCTTCCTTTAGAATGCAAGTAGGCCTAGAGGTAATAGTCCTTGACACCTGGGTAAATGTTAGGTCGGCAGGGTTTCTCTGCATCAGGAAGGACGTGAGTCGGGGGAGGGTCATGTGATGATAAACATGGCTTCCTAAGCAGTTGCCCCTGGGGAATGGGCTTGGGAGACAAGCTCGCCTTTGCAAACACAGGGCCAGGGTAGTGCCTCTTCCCTCACATTCCTAAAGGCAGCTCATACTCAGACACAAGAGGATACTGACCCCATTAGGGCCAGAGATAACCACTCCTCTAATTACCCCTGAGGCGACTCTGCCATCAGCAGCACAACTCTCTGAGCAGGAGCCCTTGCCAGCCAGGGACCCCACTGCAGCAGGATCCATGTGACCGCAGCTTCTGGGGGCCCAGGTGGATCTAGGCCAGGAAAGTGGGATGCTGAGGGCTCTCAGGTGAGTATGACTCAGGTCAGAGCCCCGCACGCCTCAGGACCCAAGGGCCTCTTCCTCCTCTGGAGGCATGGCATCCTCTTGACCTTGGCTTGGTATATCACTCCGTCCCAGCGGCTGCAGAAAGGGAGCCCGGGGCACGGCTCAGGAGCGCCACTCACCAGCAGCCAGGAGCCAAAAGACTGGCATTCCCAGCACTAGACAAAGGCCTATTGATCTTTGACCCCCACCACTCCAGGAGCCTTGGCCCTCCCTCCTGCCTGCCTTCCTTTCTTCCCTGCTGGCCTCGCCCTCTGTTCTGTCTCCTCGTTCCCTGGCTCTCTTGCTCTGACTGGCAGTTTTTCCCAGCTCCTTGACCAAACCAATCCTTCCATGCTGTCTTCAAGCCCTGCCTCCTGCACATCTCCCAACCCGAACAAGGAGAATCCAAGAAAGAAGGTCCAGTGGGCTTCTGGGAGGAGGAGGACGTCATCCACAGACTCAAAGTCCCAGTCCGACCCCTCCAAAGCGTCCAGGTCCCGGAAACTCAGCCGGCTGACGGTGAAGTATGACCGGGGGCAGCTCCAGAGCTGGCTGGAGATGGAGCAGTGGGTGGACGCCCAGGTTCAGGATCTCTTCCAGGTGGGTAAGACACCGCGGGCTGGGGGACCGGGAGAGAGCCTGCTCTGAGGCCTCAGGAGGAGCTGGAGGGCAGATGAGAGATGCTCCCATGGAGACAAAGTTTTTCCCCACAGGTGAATCATGGGTTTGCAGTCCTGAAATCTGCCTCCCTCTGGTCTGGGCTCTGCCTCTCACTCTCTACATAATCTGGAGCAGGTCTTTTAACATCCCTGAGACTTAGTTTCCTAATCTATAAAACGGGGCTATCAATGCCTGTCGTATACCTTTCGTAGGACTTGAGGCTCAGATGAGATAGTAGAGGAGTTATTTTTCTTTATTGTATGTCTTTATTTACTTTCAACCTCAACACACATACACGACTAGAGCGACATTGTTCATTCCTGTAGCTGTCAGCCATGTGTAGCTATTTAACTTTAAACTGATGAAAATTAAAAGTTCAGTTCTTCAGTCACACTAGCCACATTTCAAGTGCCCCATACATCCAGGTGGCTAGTGGCTACCAAGTTGCCAGCACAGATACAGAAAATTTCCATCATCTCAGAACAGATAGTGCTGGACTAGAACGTCAAAGTTATCAATAGTGAACGCTAATACCAGCGCCTGACCTAGCCTTGGCCCTGGCTCTGACTGACTCCCCTCAACCCCACCCTGGGAGAGTAGCCCTTTTTTTTTTTAAACCTAGATACCTACTAATCGGGATCCTAGTGTAGTAACAAATGCTGCTCCAACAACAAGAATAACATTTTGAGCACTTAACTCAGCAGTAGGCACAGTACCCAGCACCTGACTTGTGTTATTTCATTCAGCCCTCCCCACAAGTCCATTAGGTAGGTATGGTTTACCGTGGAGGAAATGGAGGCTTAGAAATGTTGAGTAACTAGCCCAAGGTCACACCACTAGGGAGCCCAGGGACCAGGAGCTGCAGCTGGGGCTCTGCCTGTAGCGCCTGAGCGTTTATTCAAGCTGCTAGTGGTTCTCCACACCTGAAGTACTTCAGTAATAATCCGATGCCCCAGCTGCATTTCAACTGAATTTCAATCTACTAGGGTGGGGCCCAGGCACTGGTCTTTTTCATATGCTCCACTGCTGATTGTAGCGTGTGGCTGGCGAGAACCACGCACCAAGCCGGAGACCAGAGTCCTCCTTGTCCACATGCCATGGTCCTTGTTTCTCTCCTTCCTTACTCAGGTCCTGTCTTTTCTTTTGGGGGCAGCAAGGGCTTGTGATTCTTCCAGGTAAGGGCTGTGTCAGTGGTCCTGTGGTTGGGGGAGGGGAAGAGTGATGCATGTGGCCCAGGCTGTCTTGTGAGTCTCACTGTGTCATGTGTTGGTTTGGTCCAGGTGTTGACGGTGTCCCTGGCAGCATCCTGGGCCACTCGCAGAGGGGAGAGAGATGCCCTAGAACTGGGAACAGGAGAGGCAAACTTTCTTTGCCTATGTATACTCTCACCTTGCAGGACATCTCCGCTGCCCTTCATTCCTGCCAGCACCCTCCCTCTCTGGATCAGTTTCAATTTCAGACTGTTGTGCCCTTACATAAAAAGGTCTCATATCTCAGACACCTCAGGGCAAAGATCAAGGCAGGGGAAAAGCTGTAAAATAATGAACTCATAACATTGGAAAACAGGACATATGGGAGGACCGCTCCCAGGCAATAATTGTAATAAAATAACCTGGTCTACAGTTGTCATGACAATTGTCCAAAGGTGCCAGGTGGCAGTTCCTCTTCTAATCTCTGTCCTTTTCAGCAGGAAGCAGGCAAGTGGCTGGGGAAGCCTCAGGTGGCTGGTCATCTTGGGCAGAGGTTGAGGCAACTCAGTCTCCAGGCTTACCCTGCCTCAGTTATTCCTGCATAGAGCCCCTCTCCACCCACTGGGACTCCCCACCACATGCCCACCTTGGGTAGCACCACTGGGAATGGTTCCAGGAGTGGGTTGCGTCACTATTTGTTTAGTTTAGTTTAGTGGAACCCAACCTTCCTTTGTTGGAGGACCCCACCTCTTCTCACTGGGTGTGCAGCCTGCTTTAGGGTCTTGTGAAAAGCCAGGTCTGTGTTCAACAAAACAAACTGACTTGGGGGCCTGGAGCTCCTGTTGCCCAGAAATGGAGTGTGGATTTGGCTTCTAAGCAGGGACTTAAACACTCATGAGTTTCTCCTATTTTAAGGAGACTCTTGTTTAACAATATGCCCCCCTTTTGTTACCATCCCCTATTTCCTGTCTCCTTAAAGGATTTGTACCAACTCAGAGGCTTTACTTACTTTTTCCTTTCCTATCACCATTCAAACCACTGGATTCTGACTTCTGTTCCCACCACTCTATTGAGACCTCTTGGCAAAGTCACCCATCACCACCTTGGGGCCAAATCTAGTGTACACATCAGCAGGGGACACTGTTGACCACCCCAGAGTTTCCTATAGCTTACATGATACCATGCATTTTGATGCAGCCCTTTTGATGTGATGGCATTTTAAGAAACAATCTATTAAACTTACAACTTTAAAAATGTATTATCAGGAATTCCCTGGCGGTCCAGTGGTTAGGACTCGGAGCTTTCACTGCCATGGGCCCAGGGTCGATCCCTGGTCAGGGAACTAAGATCCTGCAAGCAGTGAGGCCAAAGGAAAAAAAACCAGTATATATATATGTGTGTGTGTGTATATATATATATATATATATATATACATATATATATGTGTATATATATATATGTGTGTGTGTGTGTGTGTGTATATATATATATATATATATATATATATATAGTCAATGAAATGTGAAACAAACATTTGTTAGCTCATCTCTGAACTTCACTCGATTACTGGTTTCTACGGCAGAGAGATCAGGAGTAAGTGGACAGAGTATGGAGTGGAGCAGAGAAAGGGGTCAAATCAGGCAGCATCTGTCAGGAAACCACCACATGTAATACAGAGTCACAATATAACCATACTTGTTCACCTCGGTCAGAGTTGTTTGATATATCTGCTCATTTTCTGAGAATTCAAAAAATACTCGAGGGAAAGAATATTTTGGATTATGATTTGAGCCCATATTCTCAATACCAGACTGCAGTGACAATCTGACTCTCAGTGATATACATACCCTATGTTCAATATACATATAGTTAATGTCATAAATGATATAAAATGGTTTTGGGAGCAGGACTAATCCTTTTTTAGAGGTGGAATTCTAATCATTAGTATGTATTTTTATTATTTGGCCCCAGCATCCACCTTCTGGGATTCCAGTTACATGTATGTTAGACCACTTGATATGGTCCTACAGATCACCAAAGCTCTATGCTGTTCTTTTCTTTTCTACCAGTTTTTTTCTCTCCATGCTTCATTTTGGCTAGTTTCTTTTGCTATTTCCTCAAGTTTAAATGGTATTTTTTTCCTGTAGTGTCAAATATGCCATTAATTCCATTCAGTAAAATTTTTCTTTAAAATATTTTATTTTTCATCTCTAGATGCTTCACTTTGTTCTTTCTCATGTCTTCCATTTCTCTCATTACTATGTTCATGTTTTCCTCATTTGCTAATTCCATCATCTCTGTCATATCTGATCTGCTTCTATTAATTGATTTTTTCTCCTGCTTATAAGGTCACATGTCCTGCTTCTTGGCATGATTAGTGATTTTTTAATAGATTTATTTTTAATTAATTAATTAATTTATTTATTTATTGGCTGCACTGGGTCTTCTGTTGCTTTGTGCGTGCTTTCTTCAGTTGCAGCGAGTGGGGCCTACTCTTCGTTGCAGTGTGCAGGCTTCTCATTGTGGTGGCTTCTCTTGTTGCAGAGCACAGGCTCTAGGTGTGCAGGCTTCAGTAGTTGTGGCACACGGGCTTCAGTAGTTGTGGCTTGCGGGCTCTAGAGCACAGGCACAGTAGTTGTGACGCACGGGCCTCGTTGCTCCACGGCATGTGGGATCTTCCCGGACCAGGGATCGAACCCATGTCCCCTGCATTGGCAGGCGGATTCTTGACCACTGCGCCACCAGGGAAGCCCTGTGACTAGTGATTTTTTTTTTTTTTTTTGCGGTACGCGGGCCTCTCACTGTTGTGGCCTCTCCCGTTGTGGAGCACAGGCTCTGGACGCGCAGGCTCAGCGGCCATGGCTCACGGGCCCAGCCGCTCCGCGGCATGTGGGATCTTCCGGGACCGGGGCATGAACCCGCATCCCCTGCATCGGCAGGCGGACTCTCAACCACTGCGCCACCAGGGAAGCCCTGACTCGTGATTTTTGATTGGATGCTGGACATTGTGAATTTTACGTTGTTGGATTTTTTTTCTTCCTTTAGAGTGTTGGACTTTGTTCTAGGATGCAGTTTAGCTACTTGTGGTTCAGTTTGATCCTTCTGAAGCTTATTTTTAAGTTCTGTTGGGGTGAGTATAGAGTGGCCTTTAATCTAGGAAATAATTTACCCCCCAAGTAAAGCAGGGCCCTCCTGAGGTCTCTCCTGAATTCCTGTATGATCGGTGATGACTGTCCACTCTGACTGAGTGGAAATTGATTTGTGTCAGTCCTCTGTGAGGTCTGGGAAGTGTTCATCTCTGTGCCCACACTGCCTCAGAGTACCTGGCTTTGTGAAGTTTTACCCTGTGAATGTGTATCTTGTGTTCAGCAAAGACTCAGAAGAACCTTTATGTAGATTTCTGGAGGTATCTTTCTTCATAACTTCCTCCTCTGCAGAACTCTGGCAACTTCCAGCCACCTCAACCCCAAATTCTGGTATCTGTCATATCAATTTAGTAAGACCACTGTGCTCTGCTTGGGATCTCCCTTTCATTTCGTTTCTTTCCCAGGTAGTGCTGAGTTACCTGTTATGTAAAGTCTGAAAACACTTTTCATATATTTTTGTCCGGTTTTCTAGTTACTTATGTTGAGAGAATAAATCCAGTCCCTGTTACTCCATCATCAGAAGTGTAAACATCTTGTTAACTCCTATTCAGCCTTCAGGTCTGAGATTAGAGGTCACCTCTTCCTGGAAGCCTTCCTAAACCCCAGGCTTGGTTAGGTTCCCCTTACATGTGCTACCATAGTGTCTCATCAGAGTGCTTATTGCCCTGTATTATAACTGCCATTTGACTTGTCTGTATCCCTCAGGAGACTATAAGCTTTTCAAGGGCAAGATCATGTCTGTCTGTCTTTGCTGTTATGGCCCCATCACAATGCTTGGTGCATAGCATGCTCTCAATAAATATGCATTTAATGAATGAATGCTAAATCAGATGTGCTAGAAACCAAGGAAGCAAAGGGGAAAGTCTAGAGTTTAGGGTGAAAGAAGTAACTTAGAACCCTAGCACTGTTTATTTTTAAAATGGTATAGAAGGACCAAAACTGTTAACAGTGGTTACCCATTGGCAGTGGAAGGAATGAGAGGGTGAGGCATCTTTTCTCTTTCTTTCTTTTCTTTTTTATTAAAAATATTTTTTAATTAATTAATTAATTTATGGCTGTGTTGGGTCTTTGTTGCTGCGTGTGGGCTTTCATTGCAGTGACTTCTTTCTTCGCAGAGCACAGGCTCCAGGTGCACGGGCTGCAGTAGTTGTGGCTCGCGGGTTCTAGAGCGCAGGCTCAGTGGCCATGGCTCGCGGGCGTAGCCGCTTCGTGGCATGTGGGATCTTCCCAGACTGGGGCACGAACCCATATCCTCTGCATTGGCAGGCAGATTCTTAACCATTGAGCCACCAGGGAAGCCCTTTCTTTCTTTTCTAAATCAACTTTACTGAAGTCTAATGGCAGACAACAAGATTTGCCTGTTTTTGAAGTGTACATTTGAATGCACTTTGACATATATAACCACTACCCCATCAAGATATGGAATATTTCCACCATCCAAAATGTTCTTCAAAAAGCACTTACGGGGCTTCCCTGGTGGTGCAGTGGTTGAGAGTGCTCCACAACGGGAGAGGCCACAACAGTGAGAGGCCCGCGTACCACGAAAAAAAAAAAGCACTTACTTGTTTTTGTTTTTTTTTAAACAGAGAGGGAATTTTTTTTAAAACAAGTGTATTTTATTATTTGTTATTATTATTTATTTATTTGGCCATACCGTGTGGCATGTGGGATCTTAGTTTACCAACCATGGATCAAACCTGTGTGCCCTGCAATGGAAGCATGGTGTCTTAACCACTGGACCGCCAGGAAGTCCCAGTACTTACTTTTAAAAAAAAATTAATTAATTAACTTATTTTGGCTACGTTGGGTCTTTGTTGCTGCACATGGGCTTTCGCTAGTTGTGGTGAGCGGCGGCTACTCTTTGTTGTGGTGCACGGGCTTCTCACTGCGGTGGCTTCTCTTATTGCAGAGCACAGGCTCTAGGCACGCAGGCTTCAGTAGTTGTGACGCACGGGCTCAATAGTTGTGGATCGTGGGCTCTAGAGCACAGGCTCATTAGTTGTGGCTCACGGGCTTAGTTGCTCCGTGGCATGTGGGATCTTCCTGGACCTGGGCTCGAACCTGTGTCCCCTGCATTGGCAGGCGGATTCTTAACCACTGCATCACCAGGGATGACCCTTATTTTGGAACATTTTATAATCTGTAACAGAAACCCTGTATCCGCTAGTGGTCACACCCCATTCCCTACCACCACCACTTCCAGCATTAGGCAACCACTAATCCACTTTGTGTCTCTATATATTTACCTATTCTGGACATTTCATACAAATTGAATCATATAATATGAAGCCTTTTGTAACTGGCTTCTTTCACTAACATGTTTTCAAGGTTAATCCATGTTGTGGCGTGAATCACTACTTTGTTCCTTCTTATTGCTGAAAAATATTGTATGGCTACATCATATTTTATTTATCCATTCACCAGTTGATGGACATTTGAATATGAATTATGCTGCTGTGAACACTCATATGGACATATGTGGATGTCTGTTTTCCCTTCTCTTGGGAATAGACCTAGGAGTGGAATTGTTGGGTCAGATGATAACTCTATATTTAACATTTTAAGGAACTGCCAAATTATTTTCCAGAGCATCTGCACCATTTTGCATCCCTACTAACAATGTTTATAACTGTTGAAATTAAACAGATACTCTTTTTTTTTTTTTTTTTAATTTTATTTATTTATTTATTTATTTGGCTGCGTTGGGTCTTCGTTTCTGTGCGAGGGCTTTCTCTAGTTGCGGCGAGCGGGAGCCACTCTTCATCGCGGTGCACGGGCCTCTCACTGCCGCAGCCTCTCCTGCTGCGGAGCACAGGCTCCAGATGCGCAGGCTCAGTAGTTGTGGCTCACGAGGCAAGTTGCTCCGCGGCATGTGGGATCTTCCCAGATCAGGGCTCGAACCCGTGTCCCCTGCATTGGCAGGCAGATTCTCAACCACTGCGCCACCAGGGAAGCCCTAAACAGATACTCTTTTTAAAGAACCCTAGACTGTTTCAGGTAGACCATAGTAGTTATTCAGTAACTGTTGAATAAAAGGATGAATGGGGTGGTTTGAGTAAGGTGAGGAGAGGAACTGAACATGGGAAATAGAGTGGGAGATGGGTGAACCCGACAGTTAACTGTCACCCCAGCACCAGCTAGCCAGGCTCCTCTGAGCCCCATGTGATTCCCAAACAGGATCAACCAACTCCTTCTGAGCCTGAGATCGACCTGGAGGCTCTCATGGAACTATCCACAGAGGAGCAGAAGACTCAATTGGAGGTAGAATGGGGGGCCAGGCCCCGGGCCCAGAGGTTGGGGGATGGAAGCTGGGCTTGGACCAAGGGGAGCCCAAGAACCCAGGTTCTGCCTCCCCATCTGTGTGTGGAGAACCAATTCAGAGGGGAGAATTCCTGGGAGACTGACTGGGGACTCGTGACAAAGTGCTGTGGCTCGGGGACCCACTCTCTTCTTTCTTCCACCAGGCTATTCTCCAAAACTGCCCCCGCCCCACAGAGGTAAGGGATGCTCTGTTAGTCTGGGGGTAAGAGGAGGCCCAGCGGGACAGCAGCTAGCGAAGAGGAAAGCTTGGTCCTGGGTCCTTCTCCCCTTCCCTGACTCTGAAGCGATGGGGTCAGGTGGAGACTAGGGAGAGCAGTGTGGTGGGTGGGTGTGACCCCATGCCTTGATCTCACCCGTGTTTCTTTCTCAGCCTTTTATCTCTGAGCTGCTCAGTCAACTCAAGAAATTTCGGAGACTCAGTCGGCCTCAGAAATAAGCCTTGTGAGACTACCCTCATCAGCTTCAGCACTGCCAGGTCTGCCCTGAACCCCTGGATCCTGGGCTGAGAGGGAAACAGCTCCTTGGGACACAGACAAGGAACATGGAGAGTGAGGAGGGACATTTGGACACCCCTGTCTATGTGCAGTCACAGCTAATTCCTGTCAGCTGGGCTTTCTGGGAGCCAGTCATGGCTATGGCCCAGTGCTTTCCTCGGCAGCCAGTGAATAAAACCTTGAGGAGCCCCAGCTGAATGGAGTGTGGAGCATATCTGTGCTGAGGGATGGAGGAGGGAGGGACTGAAGTGTTATACCATATGGCCAGCATCCTGAGTCGCTAGGCTGCATCCACATACCTCACCCATCTGTCCATCTATCCATCCATCCACCCAGGGCTTGAGAATTCAAAGATAAAGGTCACAGTTCTGCGTCAGAGAAATTACCATCAAGCAAGGCCTGGAGGCCAAGCAGAAGGCACCTGGCTAAGAGACACAGCATCCTGACATCACCAATAGGAACCCAAGTGGCAAAGACCCATAGGAGAGGTAACAGGAAAAAAACTAGCTGGGTTTGGGGGCCTCAGGGAAAGCTAAACCCTCTTCCCTCACTAAATGATTCAGGAGACCTCAGGCTGAGGACTCTTTCTTGAACCAGCTCCAAGCCAGAGGCAGAAAGAGAAAAAGCAGGGGCTAAGCAGAGGGGTGTAAAGGGTATAGGCTCAGAGGCCAGGAATCAGGTCAGAAGGAAGTTGGTGGGGACAGACACTGGGTCTGAATGGCATGTGGGTTGGGACAGGAGCCCTGGAGGTGGCATCCTTTAGGAGTAAGGCAGGAAGCAGGGTATGCATTCACTGCTTGTGCATGCAGTGTTTGAGTATGGTGGGGCCTGGGGGCTAAGCTGGGCTGCCCAGAGCAGGATGCACAGTTCAGTTCAGTAGTATGAATATTCATGCCTACTGCGTATGAGGCCACCAGGATGGGTGTCACTGTTCCTGCCTGCAGAAGCTTGCAGGATGGCTCAAGCCTTTTCCTCACTCTACAGGACTGGACTTACAGCCTACTCTGTTCTTGCCACCTCTCCAAGGCCTAGGCTCAGGGCCCACAGGGTTCTATAGATAAAAGATGCTGGGTCCAATGAATCAACATACTTTATTAAATGCTCTAAGTGCCAGTAGAGGGCCCTGAACCCTTGAGCAAGTTTCAGGACTCCTCCCTGGATTCAGGCTGGTCTTTCCCATCATGCCTCTCACTCCTAGTCCAGACTTCAATGCTGGAGGCTCCAGACTTCTGCCTTCCCTCTGGCTCCTCCAGTCATCGTCTCCAATGGAGAATCCTTCCTCCTTCCAGGGACGGAGGCTCAGGAAAGGGTGCATTCATAAGCAGTCTAGCCTGACATGTTCTCCCATCAGATGCCCTGGAGGGCACCCCAGCTTGTGTGACTGCCTGTAGGATGGCCTTCCCAGGAGGACCAGGGTTCCCTCAGTGCTCTCGGCTTTTATGCTGGGGGTGGTAGGCAGATGTCTGGTGCTCTTTAAGTTCAAAGGCATCATGGCCTTCCCTGTGGAGCATAGATAGAGGTCAGGGATCACAGGTGGCCCCGCAACTCTCCCAGCCCCAAAGAACATTCCACCTGCACCCACCGGAAGCAGCGGACACAGTAGAGGTCTCCGTCACAGCTAGCACAGCGCAGGGTGGCATCCTCATTGCAGATGCAGCACCAGGGGAGCTCCTCTTCCTCAGCCTCAGGCCTGGCGGCCACAGCCTGAAACTTTGGAGACCAGGGAGGAATGGGGGACATAAGGTACCCGATGGGGTCTGGGAGGGCGGCTGGAGGAACAGTCGGCCAGGCAGGGAGGGAGGTTGTGGTGGCGGCCCGGGGGTCTGTGTCTGGGGTTTTCCTCACCTCAGGCTCTGCCCTGCAGGATTGGGCTTGGGGTCGGAGAGCTGGCTCTGCAGGGATGTTAAAGCCACTTGCCTCATCCAGGGCAGCTTCTTCAGTGAGCTGTGGACAGGGCAAAGAGGTACAGCTCCCCACTCCAGGCAGCCCCGCCAACACACAGTATTTCTGCGCTCTGTGGCCTGAGCTCTCAACCCATCTTCCTTTATGTTGTCTGTGGCTGCTGATACCCCATCTCAAGGGCCCAGGGGCAGGTCTGTGTCACAGGGGCAGGGGGGCCCAGCTAGAACAGGAGCTGCACGGTGACTAGCCATCGAGCCCCAGAGCGGAGGCAGAGTGAATGGGGTCAGGTGGGTGGTGGGGCAGTGTGGCAGGGACAGGACAAGGGGTGGTCGGGTGGGTAAGGTGGGGCCGACCTGCTGAAGGACTCTCTGGATGGCTGTCTCCTCATCCTCTTCGTCATCACTGTCTGGAAGGCGGTAGTCCTGTAGGGTCACTTGAAGAGGGAGAGACAGGAGCAGGGGAAGAGGAGTGAGGTTGAGAGCTCACCTGAGTGGCTGTACTTCTGCCCCCAGCAGAGGTTTGGTTTCCAGTGGCACGTGTTCCAGAACTGAGCAGCCTTTGCAGCCACTCTGATCAGACCCTGCCCCACCATGCTGGGCTGGAGGGCATGAACAGAAGGCTCCGTACCTGAAGGGACCCAGGGTCCCCTGCCCCCTGATGGCTGCCACTTGTTCCTCATCCACTGCTTTGCCCCAGCACCTTCCTCGTGGTTCTGGGTGGAGCTCGATAGACCCCTGGGCACAGGGACCCCCAGCCCCTGACTCAGCCTGGCAGGGAGTACAGCCACTGTGCAGTTTGGCCTGAGGGTGAGAGTGGGGAGGACTGCCCAGTGGACATGAATGAGTGGCTGCTCCCCAGCCTCTACCTCTATCGGGGTCGCGTCCCTGCAGCACGGCCAGGCGCTTGGCGAGGGCCAGGATCCGCTCCTGCCTTGTGTTCTCCTCCCGAAGCGTGACTGCTGCCTCAGCCAGCAGCCTCCTCTTCTCCTCCTCCAGGGACCAGGTGGCCTGTCCCTTGCAGCTGGTGCTCTGGGCCCCTGGGTCCCCCTGGTTGAGGTCATTCTGGATAGAGGCGGCTGGAAAGAGTGATGCATTCAGGGAGGCAGACATTTCAGGATCTCTCATCAGAAACCACTGAGCCCGTTTCTCAACGTTTTAAAAAAAAACACAGACTGGGCTTCCCTGGTGGTGCAGTGGTTGAGAGTCCGCCTGCCAATGCAGGGGACACGGGTTCGTGTCCCGGTCTGGGAAGATCCCACATGCTGCGGAGCGGCTGGGCGCATGTGCCATGGCTGCTGAGCCTGCACGTCCGGAGCCTGTGCTCCGCAACGGGAGAGGCCACAACAGTGAGAGGCCCGCATACCGAAAAAAAAAAAAAAAACCCACAGATTATCAGCTTTTTGTTCAACAATAGCTCCTGTGGTTTATATTATAAATAAAATTAGTATTTCCTCCATTATCCCAAATGTAAAAACCTAGTAATCTTAGACATTTCTTTTTCAATTATATCCATCCCACCCACCTGATATTTTAACATGCTGCCCTTAGGGTGGGTGCCCCACGGTATGAGAATCACTGCCCAAAAGGAGCAGGATATGGGGAGGTCAAGGTCCAGCCAGGCTCTCTGCCTTACAGGCTGGAATCAGCATTTCCAGGGAGCAGCGCAGAGAGGACATGAGGGAAGCTGAGGTCTTGAACGTCACTAGGCAGGAAGAATTTTACCAGAGTGGGTGTGGCTCTGACATGGTCCCCTTTAGCTCAGAGTTTCAGAGTAAGATGTTTGAAGTCAGACAGCTTTGGGTTCAAGTCCCAGCTTTGCTACTTAATAGCTGTGTGACCTTGGTCAAGTTCCTTAAGCTCACCAGGCCTCAGTTTCCTCATTTATCAAATACGGATAATAACAGTTATTATAGGATTACTGAGGATATTCAGTGAGATTGTATCTCTAAAGCAGGGTTTCTTAATCTTGGTTCTATTGACATTTTGGACAGGATACTGGCATACCTTGTTTTATTGAGCTTCAGTTTATTGCGCTTCACAGATACTGCCTTTTGTTTTTTGTTTTTTTTTACAAATTGAAGGTTTGTGGCAGCCCTATGTTGTCAGATGATGGTTAGCAATTTTTAGCAATAAAATATTTTTAAATTAAGGTATGTACATTGTTTTTCTAAACATGCTATTGTACACTTAATAGACTACAGTATCGTGTACATAAGTTTTACACGCACCAGGAAACCAAAACATTTGTGTGACTCACTTTATTGCAGTGGTATTCAACTGAACCCGCAATATCTCTGAGGCATGCCTGTAATTCTTTGTTGCGGGGTTGTCCTGTGTATGTACGATGTTTAGCAGCATCCTTAGCCTCTGCTCACTAGATGCCAGTGGTACCCTATGAGTTGTGACACCCAAAAAGTCTGCAGACGTTGCCAAATGGGCCCTGGAGGGAAAATCATCCATGGTTTAGAACCACTGCTCTGAAGCTTTTGAATAGCAGTGTCCAAAAGAATTTTTTAAGATGATGGGATCATTCCATATCATGTCTGTATTTGTGCTGTCCAAGAGTGTAGCCATGAGCCACTTGTGGCTACGGAGCACTTGAAATGTGGCTGGTACCACTGAGGAACTGACTCTTAAATTGTATTTAATTTCAGCTAAATGTCAATAGCCTCTTCCTCCTCTTTAGCATCATCATCATCGTTGTAGAGAACATTCACTAAGCATTTACTATGAGCCAGGCAGAGTCCTAAGCACTACTGGATTAGCTCATTTCCTCCTCATGACTTCCTTGTGAGGTAGGTTTTACCACACATTCCTCCATTTTACAGATGAGGAAAGTGAGACTTAGGTCAAGTAACGTGCCGAGGGTCACACAGCTAGTAAGTGGTAGAAAAGGGAATCACTGTCTGAGCCTAAAGCCCACATGCTTATCCACTAGGCCTACACTGGCTCCCACTGGAGTAAACACTCAATAAATGGTAGCCTTTGTAATGTTGACTATTCTCTGATTGATGTTCACCTCCCAGAGCGTGGGCAGCAGAGCCTCTCCCACCTGGGGAAAGAGTCGGGGGGCAGATCCCTGGGGGAGCTAGGTGGAGAAGATACCTGGGCCTCCTCGTTCCCAGCTCTCATCAATAGCCACCTCCGCTGCTAGCTCTGTCAGCAGATCCTGTGTCTGCTGGGCCTGGGTCCTGGTGTCTGGTGGCTGATGTGCCTGCTCAGAGGAGGGAACCTCAGTGGGGAGCAGCGTAGGCAGGGAGCCGCACCATAAGGCTCAGAACAGTTTTAGGT